GTCTGGACCCCTTATTCAATTTTTCTGAAGAAGGGTCCAGACCTGAAACATCAGCTTTCCTGCTCCTCTGATGCTGCCTGGCCTGCTATGTTCTTCCAGCTCTACACCTTGTTACAAGATCCATCTTTCTTTGCAGCTATTCCTTGACTTTCCATGTTTTCCCCATACCCTGTCATCCAATGTCCCATGTTTCTCTGTATTCCTTTCTTTGGTTGGCCAAAGATGCAGAAAGATGGTGGCACAGTAGGGCGCTCCATTTGGAACTCCTCTGTTTGCCAGCCCCTTTACCTTTCTTCCCTCTTTTTTTCCTCCCCTCTTGTGGTTTTCCCTTGCTGCTCCCCCCAACCCCCAACCCAGGCCCCACCCAGAGAACGGAGTTGCCGAGCGAGTGGGCCAGGTCCCATGGTTGACCGAAGCAAGAGGGTCGAGTCCTACTGCGGACCGGAGCGGGCAGAGGCTAAGTTCCGCAGAGGAACCAGCATGGTCATAGTGGCCTTGTGCTGTGGGGCCTGCAGGCACCCCCCGTGAGCCCCGGAGCAGCGCGTGGGCTTAAAACCCCCTGAGCAGCGCGTTGGCTGAGAGCCCCGGAGCGGCTCACAGGCAGCGAGTCCTGGATGGAGACCACTGTGAAGGGACAATCCTTACCTTAGGACACTAATATTTTCCTATTTTTAAACTTATTTCCAACCCTGTAATAAAGCAACTACTTATATTGCTCTACTATATCCAAGAACTGTACCTGGGTACTTGTATCTAAGATGTTGCCATAAGAAGGCAGACATTGTAAAAGTTTTTCACTGTACTCCTACAATGGAGTACAAGTGACAATAAAAAGATATTGTATTACAATGTTTTCATGCAGCCCACTCCTGGATTCCTCAAATTTCATTACAGTTTGGTTATATTGTAAGGAATATATGTTAGGAGCAAACAGATGTATACCTGGGGTGCCACATGTACTTGCGGTCAAATGTTGATCAAAAATGTATACATCTCTAGGTGCCATACCATAGGAAAGATGTGAATGCACTAGAAATAGTGCAGGCGCGATTTACAAGAATTGCTCCAGGAATGAGAACCATCAGTTATAAGGGCAGATTGAGGAAGTTGGGATTGTTTTCCTTAGCAATAAGGTGGCCAAGAGGATATTGGATAGAGGCTTTCAAAATTATGAGTGAGTTGGATAGAGTAGAAATGGAGGAAACTGTTCCCACTCAAAGGAATAAGAATGAGATGAAATTAAAGTGATGCGCAAAAGAAAAAAGGATATTGTGAGAACAAGAGTTAACAAAGAGTGGAGCTGGAGGAACACAGCAGGCCAGGCAGCATCAGAGGAGCAGGAAAGCTGATGGTTCGGGTTGGGACCCTTCTTCAGAAATGAAGAAATATTAACTTTCCTGTTCCTCTGATGCTGCCTGGCCTGCTGTGTTCCTTCAGCTCCACACTGTGTTATCCCTGACTCCAGCATCTGCAGTTCTTGCTACCTCTATTGTGAGAGCAAACTGTTTTACAGAGAGTAGTTATGGTACAGAATGCATTGTCCAAAAATGTGGACAGATTCAATTAAGACATTCAAGAGGACATTGGATGATTATTTGGATAGAAATAGTGTAAAAGGGTATAGGGAATATGCAGGAGATTGGCATCAGGTAATGATGCTCATTTTGAAGACCCAGTGCAGTCACAATGGGCTGAATGGCCTTCAAAGCCATAACAATTCTGCAAGTGCATCAGTCCAGCAGCCACATGCAGAGCTGCAAATAATACACTCAGGGAAGCTCAAGAATTTTGAGTCAAAACTGTGATTATTTTAAACTTCTGAGAACCAGAAGACACAACATGGGCTCAGCAGGTGTTGGTGAGTAAGCGAAACATTTTCAACAGATTTAATGCTGAATTAGATTGAGAGGGAAAAAAACAACCCAAATTAGTGCCAGAAAGAGCAAGAAAATCTGAGTGAATCATGTGAAAAACCAAACTGAGGCTGGTGGAGCAATAGATGCACAGTTACAGGCTGTAATGAATGAGGAAACTGATGAATGTAGGAGAGGTATTTGAGAAGTTTAAGCACAAGTGCAGATTGGCTTTCCATAGCTTTCTAAAAGGCAGTTGTGGAGATGGAAAGCATTACCTGCATCCTTTATGGGCAGGAGATAAAGGGCTAAATGTAAACTGGAAGAACTGCAGACGCTGTAAATCAGAAACAAAAACAGAAATTGCTGGAAAAGCTCAGCAGGTTCTGGCAGCATCAATGAAAAGAAATCAGAGTTAATGTTTCGGTTCTGAAGAAGGGTCACTGCACCCAAAATGTTAACCGATTTCTCTCCACAGATGCTGCCAGACCTGCTGAGCTTTTCCAGCAACTTCTGTTTTTGTTCAAGGGTTAGATGCATTTTATAGCTGGGAGGTGACCGAAGAAAACAATAATAACCCAAAATGTTTTTTGAAAACTTAAACGATATGATTGAAAAGATTATCGTAGACATTGCCAGAGCACACGAAGCTATGAGAAGACAGA